AAAAGATCCGGTCCTTCCTCTTTGTGACAGCACTCTACAAGTACTTGAAAGGCTATCATATCTCCCCTCAATCTTCTCTTCTCAAGGCTAAACATGCCCAATTCTTTCAACCTCTCCTCACATAGCTTTGTTTTCCGTCCCTGGATCATCTTTGTTGCCTTTCTCTGAACCCTTTCCAGCTTGCCTGCATCTTTCTTGAACTGTGGTGACCAGAACACAACACAGTATACCAGATGAGGCCTAACCAGCGCTGAGTAAAGGACAACTAGTTACTTCTTGTGATTTGGAAGTGGTCATTTTATTAATGCAGCCTAAAATAGCATTTGTCCCTTTTGCAGTCACATCACCTATTTGACTCATATTCAGCTTGTGATCTACAATTCCGAGATCCTTCTCACTTGCACTACTGTCAAGTCAAGTATTCTTCATCTTGTAGCAAAGCATTTGATTTCTTTTTCCTAGGTGGAGAACATGGCACTTGTCCCTACTAAATTTCATTCTGTTGTTTTCAGACTAGCATTCTGACTTATCAAGATCACCTTGAATCTTCTTTTTGTCTTCCAGGGTACTAGCTCCCCCACCCAGTTTTCTGTCAGCTGTAAATTTGATAATCATTCCCTATACTTCTTTATCCAAATCTTTCATAAAGATGTTGAAGAGCACTGGGCCCACGACTGAACCCTGTGATACCCCACTTATTACCATGCCCCAGTTCGAGAAGGTGCCATGGATGAGCGCTCTTTGAGTCCGATTCTGTAGCCAACCGTGAATCCACCAGATAGCCCATTTTAGCTAGTTTGCTAATCAGGATATCATGGGGCACTTTGTCAAACGCTTTACTGGAATCAAGATATAGTATGTGCACAGCATTCCCATAGTTAGTATATCAGGGAGGTTACCCAATCAAAACATGAGATCAGATTAGTCTGGCAGTATTTGTTCTTGAGAAATCCATGCTGGCCTCTTGTAATCACCACATTGCAAACACATTGGAAACAGACTGCCTGCTTTACAATCTGACCCAGAATTTTCTCAGGGATTGATGTCAGACGGACTGGTCTGGACTTCCCAAGTTCTTCCTTTTTTCCTTTCTTGAAGATGAGGATAAATGCTGGTTTTATGTATATTCTTAATTATTGTTAATCGTAATTTTTGATTATGGATTGTTTGTTTTAATTTCTGTAAGCTGTCCTGAGATGCTTTGCATATAGAATGGGGTATAAATATTTTAAATAAATAATACATAATTACCCCTTCTCCAGTAATCTGGCACTTCCCTTGCCCTTCATGATTTCTCAAAGATAATAAACAGTGTTTCTGAGAGTTCTTCTGCCAGCTCCTTTATGACTTTAGGAAGGAGTTCAGTGCACCCTGGAGATATGAAGTCATTCAACCCAATCACTGTTTGCCTATCAATCTTCAGCTGCCATCCTGCTTCTTCAGCTTGGACTTCCCCTTCATCAGGAAGGTCATACATCCTACTTTGGCTCAGTCTTCTCCCAAAAAGGGAATTGAGCACTCCTGCCTTCTCTTTGTCGTCTGTTATCATTTTGCCATCCACACTGAGTAGCTGATCCCATTTCTTTCCTCTGTCTTTTACTTTGGACATATCTGAAGGTGACTTTTTTTGCTCCAGCTCATTCCTAGCTTTCGTCTTCCCAACATCTTCCCGGCAATTCCACGCTACCTGCCTGCATTCTTTCTCTGCCTTCCTTCCACTCCCTATTTGTGTCCTTTTTGTTTTCAGATCATCTCTACGCTTTTTGTGAAGCTGCATGGGCTTCTTCTGTTGTCTTCTACCCCTTTTCCTTGTTGGAATTGTTTGTAATTGTGCCCTCGGAATTTCCTTTTTAAAAAATTCCCTCTTGGACTCCTTTTCTCATTAGAGTCACTTGCCAGGGTACTTAGCCAACTTTAAAAAACTCAGAACAATGATAAGCATTCTTGAAATCCAGGGAACATGTTTGGCTACACTGGGCTTTTGCTTCCTTTAGAATAAGAATTCAAACATGGCAAGGTCACGTTCCCTCAGGGTTCCCGTAGCTGCCGCATTGTCCACTAGGTCTTCTCTGTTGGTTAGTATCAAGTGAAGAGACTGGCCCCTGGAGGATCTTCATTACAGCAGCAAAAACATAATGATCGTAATCCTCCTTCACTATCAGTGCTCTGATATAATAGGTAAAAGGATCAAGGGAGACTCTGGATCCCTAGGCCCCAATTCCCTTTCATTTCCTCATCATGTGAGAGCCAGTGTGGTGTAGTGGTGAAGAGCTGGGACTGGGACTCAGGCGATCTGGGTTCTAGTCCCCGCTCGGCCATGGAGCCAACTGGGTGACTTTGGGCCAGTCACAGACTCTCAGCCCAACCCACCTCACAGGGTTGTTGTTGTGGGGATAAGATGGAGGAGGAGATGTAAGCTGCCTTGAGCCCTTTGCAGGAAAAAGGCAGGATATAAATAAATAATAATAATAAAAAAACAAAAACCAGAGAGAAAACCAAGCATCACCACTGTGCTTCCTTCACCCTTCTTTCCTCGTCATTCCCTCTTGGCTCATTTCTTTTTAGATTATAAGCCTGAGCACAGGGATTTCTGCAAGCCACTCTACTCTGGCAGTCTTGCATATGAGCAGTGGGACAAAAATACTTTGAATGAATATTGAAATACACCAGCCAGAAAGCTGGCATATTTTTGCCATTGGTCTTCCCCTGACACTTTGACACTGACAGTGACAAGCGGTAGTTCCTCCATCATCAAGTCTCCCTCGCCTGGCCCCACAGGATTACTGGTAGATTGCAATCCTACGCCATATTGCCTGGGAGTAAGTCCCATAGAATTAAAGGAGTCCATTCAGTGTAGACATGTTAAGGTGTTTTAAATTTAAAATATAATCAATAAAAAGTGGTAATATTCAAACAAATGTAGAAACATTGTATTAGACTATGTGTAATTTTTTTAATAAATGAAAATCACAATGGAAAAGCAGGCACTGCTGTGCTTAAATCTGAAAAGTAAAAAAAACGAAAGATACCAAAAACATGTTAAATTTAGTTTTAATCTGTCACACAGGCCTCCCACCATCACCTGAAAAAAAAACCTAATTAAAATGTGAACATGTTTCAGTTTAACAGGCATGATATCCACTCATCATGCGATTCACCATACGGAATTATGGTTTCTTAAATGATAATTTTTTGCTGAGGAATATAACAACGAAACATTTCTGGAAAACGTCTTCCCTACATCAAAGCCAACCATGTCCGTTAGTGGCCTATGAGATTTGAAAGCCTACTCAATAACATTTCTTTGCTTCTTCACATTTCAAGGGGAAAGCTGGTTCAGGTAGCATGTCCAACATTACTCATTTCAGTGAGGAATTTCAGATAAGCTTCTGTGGAATCCCAAAGATCTAATGATCACTCCTGGAATGGCATGGTTCACATGCAAAACTGCCACAATTTTTATCCATGGTGAAGAACGTGTCAGCTTTCCAATTCCTAAGTACAACTCTATTTGGAGGTAGTCAGCATTAGATTTAAGCACCAATCCTACCGTTTTATCTAGGATTTACAGATACCCAAGAGCACTGGCAATTAAAGGTTGCAATCATATGCAAGTTTATACAAAGAAATGGTCTATAACTCCCAGTATTTTCCACAGATCTATGGAAGTTTACAGGCACCTCTGAAGATTGTAAAATACATCAAATACATTAAGGCCTAAATGTAGGCCTTTTCTATCAGCTTGCACCAGACAGTATAGTATTTTTCTGTAATTTTTATTTTGAATGGATTTGATTTGTCACTAGGTCTTAACCCTTGGGTAACATACACAATGTATCAAATACATATTGATATATTGCACTGAATCTCTCTAGAACCACTTGTGGAAACCACAAGAGCAAATGTATAGTCGAGGGTTCACATTTTTGTGAATAAACCTGAAGTGTGTTCCAATTGTGCAGACTTCCAGAAAAATCCTTTATGTTTTTATTTACCTATATTCTTTATTACATTTCTACTCCTTTTTGCTTACGTAAGGTGGCTTACGTAATTCTCCATTTTATCTCCACAACTACCCTGTGTGGTAGACTGAGTTGAGAGTCAGTGACTAACCCAAAGCCACCCAGCAAACTTAACAGATGAGAGGAAGCTAGAACATAGGTTTCCAGTTGCAGTGCAACACTCTAACCACTACATCAGCATGGCTCAATATTGTACCAGCCTTTCTCAAGCTGATGCTGTCCAAATGTCTGAAACATCAACTACCTTCATCCACAGCCAGCATGGCCAGTTTTTATTGAGACTTAGCTGCTTACAGAATAGCATCCTTAAAAGCAAAACATATTTTTACACTGATAGACTTCCACTTTTTGATCTAATTCTACTGACAGCAACTCACACACTCAAGGTTATGTCCACACAAGGATTTGTTGGTGGTTTCAGAGACACAAATTCCACACTTTTGTAGATGCACACTGGTATTTTTGCCTGCATCTCTAAGAACATCCTTCCTTCCTGAAAGCCAGCTATGTATGACATTCACTGACCAAAAAACAAACAAACAAACGAGCATCTTCAGCCACAAAGCTCACTAATCACCAAGGTTTTTTGCTGACACGATGCCAACCTTTGAAACCATTTCTCTGACTCAATGCTGGCACATCACAACAGCTTCCCAGTGACAGTTAAACTGGCAAAAGCAAATAATTAGCAAAGCACTCAGCAGAGCTGCTCCTAGGCTGATGCACTAGAGTGACTAAGATAGCAACCTATGAGCTCAACAGGCAGCCATAGGCAAGTATATCCTCGTGGCGCCAGCATCCCACACCAGAATCTGTACCATGAGGATACAGCTTGCCTTACAATGCTGGTATAAGGTTACTAAAGCAATGCATTTCAAAAGACTTAAGATGCATAATCCATTAGAATATTATTACAAGATACAAATATGGCAGCATATTACATGTAATCAAACATTCCAATGGTACTTTTAAACTTACCATGGTGGCTTCGGAGGCGTCTGGGATCGTTTGGCTCTTAGGGCTTGGCTTTTCCTCCTTTTGCTCAACTCATGTCATGGTTAACGAGGTAGTATCCTAGGAGGACCTTCCTCCTCCATGGGTGAAACACTTAAAAATAAAAATCCCACACCCTATCTTTTTCTAAATAAGATGAACACACCCACCCAACCTTTGGCTTCAGGAACCCATCAGAAAGCAGCACCTAACACAAATATTTTTAAAAGCACCTGCAATTATTCTACCTGTTTGTTTTAAAAACAAGATAGCCAGGGAGAAGGGGAAGTATAAAATGAATTTAAAAGGAGAGTTCGACCGACCTATAGAAAACCCTCAAGCAGAGGCCTATACTGGGAAGAGGATGGGGGACGGTCCTGGGGGTGGGTGGATTAAGGGATCCCCTCCAGAGAAAAGAGTAGCAGGGGCGGGAAAGGGACCTATCTTTGCAGGGTGCGTGGGGGTGGAAATGGCTCTCTGAAACCCGGAGTAAGCGGGAGAGAGGCGGCTTGTCTTGTCCGGCTGTCGGTCTGCTGAGGCGGGCCAGGGCCTGTACCACGAAAGCCACCCTACCTCGGTCTCCTCACAGCCCTCCACAGTCAGCACCAAGCCCTCAAGAAGCGCATCCTTTCTCCCTTTCGGTTTTTCTCCTCCTCCTCTCAGGCTCCTGGGGCGGGTGGGGGAGGGGGGGAAACGGCCTCTGCCCCGCCCACCTCCGCCGCTGCCCCGCCCACCTAGCCACACTTCCTCACTTTCCTCGCCCTCCTTATTGCCGTCACGACGGAAATGACCCACCAAACCGAAGCGTTTCCCACCCGGAAGGCAAGCGGCCAACCCGGAAGAAGTGCGCGTGACGTCCCGACGCTACGCTCGGTGAAGCCCCGCCCCTGCTTTCAACTGGCGAGGAACGGGAGGGTGGCGCGGGAGAGAAGTGGGGCGGATGTGCGCGTGCGCGCCGCGAAGTTGCTCCCGAGAGAGCGTGACTGGTTACCCAGCATGCGCGGATGGTCCCCGTGGTTTCCCTCATAAAAAAAAAAGGGTGGAGAGGTGTTTTTTTGTGGTTTAAGGCGCGATGCTATGCAGCTCCCTGGGAACGGGGGGCTTTCCCCTGTGTCAGCATGTGTAGGATTGCACCCGCTCTTTTTCGTGTTACTTTAGTCCGTCCATACAAACGTTAGGTATATTTCCGTGATTTTAATTGTTGTACCCATGCATGTAGAGAAATATGACAAATGGCCCAGTTTTGATTGAGCGGGTCAACCTGAGTCTTGACTGTACCACGAAGGGGAGGAATTATCGGGGTGCGGCATGCTTTGGCTTACAATTCCCATTATTCCTGGCTAGCAAAGCCAGTAGTGGGGATGATGGGAGCTGAGAGCCAAAGGCTTTGAAAGATCACAAATCCTGGTACATTATGCACCACACTTTGCTATACCTAGAAAGTATATCAGGGAAAGGTCTAAACTAGAACGTGAAAAACTAGTTTTCTATATACAGGGAACATGCAGCCAATCTGGTCTATCCCTTCCTGCCCCTCATACAATATGAAGCAATGTAGTCCAGGTACAAGCTTACCTTCTCACTATGCAAGGTATTATTTTTGTATTATGTCTTTAAAATAAGGGTAGGTTAAAAAAAACTGAGCAGGTGCCATAAACCGTGATCCTATGTGTACCTGGAAATAAGCCTCATTGAACTTAATAAGACTAATGTATTTACTATGGCATGAAGCTATAATCTTTTGTAGATTAGAGTCCACGAAAGTTTAGACCAGGGGTCTCAAACTCGCGGCCCGCGGGCCAATTGCCGGGACGGGCAGGGCACGGGGGAGGGGTCCTGCGGCCTTCAAAGTGCTGGCGGCACCCGGGCCGGCCACAACGGGATGAGCGGCCCACCACCACCGCGGTGGTGGAATACTTGATGCGGCCCAGCCTCACCCAGACTCTACTTCCAGCGTCCCCCAGGTAAGTTGAGTTTGAGACCCCTGGTTTAGACCATAATAAATGTCTACGACTTTAAGGTTTCACAATGCCTGTGGGGGTGGTGAGGGAGTTGTCCAACTACTTCTATGGAAAATATATCTCATACTTTGCAGTCGAGAAGCTCCTGTTAGGGCAGGGGCTTGTGTAACGCAATGAAGCTAAGAGCTATGCCATGCAGAGGCACCCAAGACAGACAGGTCATAGCAGAGAGCTCTGATAAAAGGTGATTCAAGGAAATGGCAACGCACTCCAGTATCCCTGCCATGAAAAGCCCATAGATAGTTGTTGTTAGTCGCAAAGTCGTGTCCAACCCATCGCGACCCCATGCACAACATTCCTCCAGGCCTTCCTGTCCTCCACCATCCCCCTGAATTTGTGACTCAGGAATCCCTCAGAAGAAATGGAGTAGCTTTCATAGTCAACAAAAGAGTAGGAAAAGCAGTACTGGGATGCAACCTCCAAAATGACAGAATGATCTCAGTTCGAATCCAAGGCAAACCATTCAACATCACAGTAGTCCAAGTCTATGCCCCAACCACTGGTGCTGAAGAGGCTCAAGTTGACCGGTTCTATGAAGGCCTACAGCACCTTCTAGAATTAACACCAAAAAACGATGTCCTTATCATCATGGGGGATTGGAATGCTAAAGTAGGAAGCCAAAAGATAACCGGAATAACAGGCAAGTTTGGCCTTGGAGTACAAAATGAAGCAAGGCAAAGGCTGGCAGAATTTTGTCAAGAGAACACGCTGGTCATAGCAAACACTCTTTTCCAACAACCCAAGAGACTATTGTACACATGGACATCACCAGATGGTCAACACAGAAATCAGATTGACTATGTGCTCTGCAGCCAAAGATGGAGAAGTTCTATACGGTCAGTAAAAACTAGACCAGGAGCTGACTGTGGCTCAGATCATGAGCTTCTTGTTGCAAAATTTAGGCTTAAACTGAAGAAAGTAGGGAAAAGCACTAGGCCACTCAGGTATGACCTAAATCTTATCCCTGTTGAATACACAGTAGAGGTGACAAATAGATTGAAGGAATTAGATCTGATCGACAGAATGCCTGAAGAACTATGGATGGAGGTTTGCAACATTGTACAAGAGGTAGCAACAAAAGCCATCCCAAAGAAGAAGAAATGCAAGAAAGCAAAATGGCTGTCTGAGGAAGCTTTACAAATAGCTGAGGAAAGAAGGGAAGCGAAAGGCAAGGGAGAAAAGGAAAGATACACCCAATTGAATGCAGAATTCCAGAGAATAACTAGAAGAGAGAACAATGGCTTCTTAAATGAAAAGTGTAAAGAAATAGAAGAAAACAACAGAATAGGGAAGACTAGAGATCTCTTCAAGAAAATTTGAGATATGAAGGGAATGTTTCATGATAAAGAACCAAAATGGCAGGGAACTAACAGGCAGAAGAGGTTAAGAAGAGGTGGCAAGATTACACAGAAGAACTATACAAGAATGAGCTTAATGTCCCTAATAATCATGATGGGGTGGCCGTTGACCTCGAGCCAGACATCCTGGAATGTGAAGTCAAATGGGCCTTAGGAAGTCTGAGCAACACCAAAGCTAGTGGAGGAGACAGTATTTCAGCTGAGCTATTCAAAATCCTAAAAGACGATGCAGTAGAAGTGCTACACTCAATATGCCAGCAAACTTGGAAAACTCAACAGTGGCCACAGGATTGGAAAAGGTCAGTTTACATTCCAATTCCAAAGAAGGGGAACGCCAACTACTGTACCATTGTGCTCATTTCACATGCTAGCAGAGTTATGCTCAAAATCCTACAAGCTAGTAGTACAAGCTATCCTACAATCCAGCCGTATGTTGACCGAGAACTACCAGAAGTACAGGCAGGATTTCGAAGAGGCAGAGGAACTAGAGATCAAATTGCCAACATACGCTGGATCATGGAGAAAGCTAGGGAGTTCCAGAAAAACATCTGCTTCATTGACTATGCTAAAGCCTTTGATTGTGTGGATCACAACAAATTGTGGTAAGTTCTTAAATAGATGGGAGTATCAGACCATCTTATTTGTCTCTTGAGAAACCTGTATGTGGGTCAAGAAGCAACAGTGAGAACTGGACATGGAACTCATGAGTGGTTCAAACTTGGGAAAGGAGTACACAAGGCTGTATATTGTGTCCCTGCCTGTTTAACTTATATGCAGAGCACATCATGAGAAAGGCAGGGCTAGATGAATCACCAGCTGGAATTAAGATTGCTGGGAGAAATAACAACCTCAGATATGCAGATACCACCACTCTAATGGCAGAAAGTGAAGAGGAACTAAAGAGCCTCTTGATGCGGGTGAAGGAGGAGAGCACAAAAGCTGGCTTGAAACTCAGCATTAAGGAAACTAAGACCATGGCGTCTGGTCCTCTCACTTCCTGGCAAAGAGATGGGGAAGAAATGGAGGTAGTGACAGATTTTATTTTCTTGGGCTCCAAGATCACCACAGATGGGGACTGCAGCTAAGAAATTAAAAGACGCTTGCTCCTTGGGAGGAAAGCTATGGCAAGTCTAGACAGCATCCTAAAAAGTAGAGACATAATCCTACCGACAAGACAAAAGTGCATATAGTCAAAGCTATGGTTTTCCCAGTTGCAATGTATGGCTGTGAAAGTTGGACCATAAGGAAGGCTGAGCGCTGAAGAATTGAGGTCTTCGAACTGTGGTGCTAGAGAAGACTCCTGAGAGTCCTTTGGACTGCAAAGAGATCAAACCAGTCAGTCCTAGAAGAGATCAACCCTGACTGTTCCTTAGAAGGCCAAATACTGAAAATGAAACTCAAATACTTTGGCCACCTAATGAGAAGGAAGGACTCCCTGGAGAAGAGCCTGATGCTGGGAACAATAGATGGCAAAAGGAGAAGGGGATGGCAGAGGATGAGGTGGCTGGATGGAGTCACTGAAGCAGTTGGTGTGAGCTTGGGTGAACTCCAGGGGATGATGGAGTACAGGAAGGCCTGGAGGAATGTTGTGCATGGGGTCCGGTGATGGTTTGGGCATGTCTTTGCAAATAACAACATGCGAATGCATGGACAATCCAATTACCAAGTGCCAAGTGCCATTAGGCGTATTACTTCCCCAGGAACAAAGAGCTTTATAAAAACAGTAACAACCTCAAGAAACAAAGCAGGTTTTGTTTTTAGAAATGGACTCATGGTCCGTGCCAGTGAGCACCCACAGAGTTCCTTTCCTGCTGTTGGGAAACAGGTTTTCAAATAAAGACTCTGTAGTGCCATCTGTTGGTCAGAGCTTCGGCAATGCACAAGCTGAAACACTGCTACAGCAACATCCCTGACAGTTGGGATCCGCTATGAGGCAACACAGGATCCTATTGATCCAATGTACATCACCTTGTGCTTTATAACAACATGGGAATGTTAGCTATTTCCTTCTATATTCCCAGGCTTGGACAGAAGTTTTGGAGATCTTTCCAGACTACTCTGTGAATAATTTGATGTCCCCTTTAAAGCCCAGGTTATTTATCAATACTTTCCATAGCACCAGTCTCTGGACTGATCGTTAGACATCTTAATACCAGTCTCTGCACCCTTAATAGCAATTCTTTTTTCTCACCCACTGTTTACTGTTTCTAAGCTTCCAATTTAGTCCCTTTTTATACTATGATCTTTCTTCAGTGCTGTTCACAGTTTTCTCATCTGATGGGAATGTGGC